AATGGTGCAATTTTAGTTACTAAAGAGAGAGTGGCAAAAGGTTTTTGAGGAGAGACTGAATTTAATTATTTTGCATTTGGATCCTAAGTCGATCTGGTAGAAATTAGCGGTGTTTGTGAGTTCCACTCTCTGTGCTACAGTTCCCTCATTTCTAAAGCCAGCGCTGAGCACCTGCTCACCCAGGCCTCTCCTGGCTCTAATAACCTGGGGTCTTTGCAGTGGAATGGCCACACAATGATTGGAGCAGAAGTACTCACTGGTAGGAGCAGGACAGACTGGTAGGAGCAGGACAGACCCTGGCTCCCGGGAGAAACAGACAGGCATCCGCCTGGCCTCTGCCTCCCAGCAGCAGCTGAGACCCCTCCCATTCCCCACTCCTCACAAGCCAGGAAGGTGCCAAGGGTCATCAGCACGAAGCTGGATAGCCGGTCTCCATGGAGGCCGCAGCCCCAGGTGTCCCCAGAATCTGGGCCGTTTGTGCAGAAGCCAGCAGACCTGCTTTAGCTCAAGCCAGGGCAAGCGACACCCCCTGAGCGCAATTTTATCGTTTGTTAAATGGAGATGACGCAGTCTCCCTGCCCACTTCCCCGGCGGGATGAGCAGCTCCAAGGCGGTGAAGTGTTTTGCAAAAACACACAGGGCACGATGCCTCTGGCAGCGTTTCCAGGGGGCCTGGAAAAGCAGAAGCCACCCGGACAAGACGTTTCTGTGTCCTGCACTGGAGGCAGATGAGCTGGCTGACTCCTCTCCTCTCTCCAATGACCTTCTTCCGCTGCCTGGGCCGCTTCTCCACAGTACTCCCACCTCCAGCCACTGGACGTGTACAGCCTCCCAGCCCCGGGGGCCTCCCTCGGCCACACAGCTCCCGGGCCAGGCGGCAGCTGTGGAGGCTGCCACGGGTGCCAAGGAAGCCACTAGACGGGGGCTGGGCTGGAAGTGGGGGTGGGGAATAGGTCTGATTTGCTGTGCTCCGCTGACTTAGAGCACGGAACACCACGGCCAAGGCCAGTGGGAAGTCTGATGGGGGTTACTGCCCGGCTGGGCCCCAGCAAGTCTGCAGGAGGCTCAGCAGACGGCGGCGTCCATCTGTAGGCCCTGGGAGAAGGTTTTTGGCCCTCAGAGACCCCTCCAGGCCATATTTTTGGTCCAGCCACCCAAGGGTTCCCCCTTCAGGCTCCCATCGGCACTCCCTAGTCCAAGCTGGATAATGAGATGTGGTGAGGAGCTAGCTTCTAGGCCAGCTCTGAGTGCTAGAAAGTTCTTCCTGATGGTTGACTTGAATCATCTTAATGTAACTTGCCTCCACCTGTCCGAGTTCCGATCCCTGGGGCCACATGGAATGAGAGTGAGCCCCTGTCCCCAGGATCACCCCCCTCTCCCTACCTTTGTCCCACCAGAACAACCAGGGGCTCTTCAGGGAAAGGGGTTCTAGGCCCACCTTACTGACGGTCCGCTTTATTCTGTCCAGTAATTGTCCTCAGGAGTACAAGCCAGGGCTCCCTCATTGTAAATGGACACAGTTGGCTTTTTGGACTGAAATTTAGGACTTTGCATTTCACTTACATTTACATTTCATTTTCTTGGTTTCGATCTGCATGTTGAGATACCCTTAAATCTTCAGTCTGTTGCCATGTGGGTTTTGTGGTCCTTATCCAAAGATTTGATAAGGATGCCTTTCAATTTCCCTCTAAATTGCTTAATGTCAGGTCCAAGTGGGAGCCCGAGGGACCCTTACGTTGCACTGAAGCCTTTAATGAAAGCCCTGTCATCAGTCCTCCAGGCCCTTCCCACACCTTTCCATCAGTTTCCAGGGCTCTCACGAAAGATCTTTGCTGTGTCCTGCCGAAATGCTGCAATTCACCTTTGTTCCGGTCTGAAGGAAGAAATTTGGGGGGCACCTGGGTGGGTGAGTCGGTTGAGCAACCGACCTCAGCTCAGGTCATGATCTCACGGTGTGTGAGTTCGAGCCGCGCACGCGGGGCTCGAACCCACAGACCGTGAGATCATGACCTGAGCCGAAGTCAGAGGCTCAACTGATCGAGCCCCCCCCAGGCCCCGCCCAGTCCAATTTGCTTTAAAGAACACTAATATTGGGCTACTCACGAGTACTACATTATTTTCCTTCTTCTTGAAAAAACAAAACAAAACACGTTTTTTTAAGAAAACAATGAGGTGCTTCTTATAAACCAGTCCTGAGCACTAACTACCAAAGAAGAGAGTGAACATCACTGAAATCGCACACACAGAGATAACCCCGCGGCCAATGTGTCCGTGACGCCTCTTGCTGTGGACCCCTTCAGCCTGAAGGTCCAGCTGTGGTGGACCGTTCCTGGCACCTCCTGCACCTCACCAAGCCTGCACCCGAGGGTGTCTCTGCTTCCTTTGAAGCCAAGAACAGGAACCTTCTAGGAGTGCAGGAGGAGAACCAGTGGAAAGGAGCAAACAGCACCAGCTTCCCATCTCACGTGGGGGAAATCTTGGCCGCTCTCTGCACATTCCCCAGAGGGTCCCGAGAGGGACAGAGCCCTCAGGTGCCCGCAGCTAAACCCAGCTCGTTCATGCACCCATTTCTTGTCTTTTCTCCCTCTCCCACCCTGCTCTCTCTTTTTAAAAAAATTTTTTTTAATATTTATTTATTTTTGAGAAACAGAGGCAAAGCGTGAGCGGGTGAGGGGCAGAGAGGGAAGGAGACACAGAATCTGAAGCAGGCTCCAGGCTCTGAGCAAGCATTCAGCACAGAGCCTGATGCGGGGCTCAAACCCACGAACTGTGAGATCATGACCTGAGCCGAAGTGAGACGCTCAACCGACTGAGGCACCCAGGCGCCCCCCGCCACTCTGCTCTCTTGACGTCCGCTTTCAAGCATCAGAGAAACTTCCTGTACCTGAGCCTTTGGCTTAGGGTACACTTTCAGAAGCGGGGGAATCCAAACGAAGATGTTAGTGACCATCTCTTTGCAGACATCTTACATACATCGCCAATAACAAGCCTACGTAATTTTGCGTAAAGGGATTGTACTCTACGTGGGTTCTAAAACCTACTTTTATGAAATTACTCACAGTGGGCAGGGAACATACTTTCATGCCTGTAAATACAATCCTCAATGCAGTTCTTAATGTCTACATGCTATGCCACGGCAGATGTGTTTCATCATTTAATTTACTTAATTATGGGCCTCTAGATGGTCTCCAGTTTTGCACTGCGATGAAAATGCTCATGCATATATCTTTGCAAGTGTTCAGGATGGCATCGTTTGACAAAATTCTGAGATCTTCAGAATTGCTTCATTGTTTCCTAAGTTTTCTCTACGTGTTTGACAATCTATTTCGGCATTTTCATAGAGGCCAGTATTAATCTTAGCAGGTTAGAGATGTCTTTTCTTTTTTTAAAAATCTCCCTTTACTTCCTTTTTTGAAAATCAGGACAGGTGCCCGTCTTCTGTTTTCTCGCATTTTTTTCATCCTTTGTACTTTCTTTTAAGGCAATGATTACATCTGCCTCCACGTCCCTGGGATGTCACTTGTCTGGGCTTCGATGCCTTCTTCCCATCACCTGTCTTGGGCTTCAATTTCCTCCTTATGCTCTTTATTCTATCATTTGGAGTAAAATTGCCTGTGCCCTGCTCCGCCTGCCCTCCCTTGTGCGTTAAGCTTGTATCACCTATCTCGAGCCCTGAGCCGACTTCCTTATTATCCTTACTCAGCCTTCGAAAGCTCTTTGCTCTGCCTTTGTTAATTTCCCCGGGTTTCTCTTCACTCGAGCTTTGCTGTTTTGCTAACACTGTGCTTGCGGATCCTGCCAACCTTCCAGATTCATCTTGGGTTATGCATTCCTCACCGCATCTTTGTGTGTGTGCGCTTTTCAAACCCTGCCAGTGCAGCGGCGCAAGACATTCTGTGAAACTCTCTTTTCTTTCTTGCCTGGAGTCCAATCATTTCCTTGGAATTTCAAGGTTTTATGATCTCTTGAAGTAGCCTCTCTTACCGGTATGAATTTGTTCAACGCGTCTTGCCTTATTTCACCCTTACACCCACCCTGTGAAGCCGGCTAAATGTAAGTTTCTCCCTTCAACAGATGGGTAAAGGGGCGCCTGGGTGGCTCAGTCGGTTACGTGGCCGACTGTGGCTCAGGTCATGATCTCACGGTCCGTGAGTTCGAGCCCTGCGTCAGGCTCTGTGCTGACAGCTCAGAGCCTGGAGCCTGTTTCAGATTTTGTGTCTCCCTCTCTCTGACCCTCCCCTGTTCATGCTCTGTCTCTCCCTGTCTCAAAAATAAATAAAATGTTAAAAAAAAAAAAAAAAACCAGATGGGTAACCAGTGACCCAGAGAGGTTTAGGCACCACCCCAAAGATACCCAGCAAACCAGCGGACCAGTCCTCAGTCCTCTAGGCTCTTAGTCTAAATATGGTTTCCCTTGCCCACCGTGGCTGAGATGGGGCTCTGGACCCCCCACTTGGTAAGGTTGGAGCAAGCAGTCTTCTACCAGGGACGTATCCTTCAGAGTCCTGCGGGTCAGGTCCATAAATCCACCTTTCTTCTAGAAAGAAAAATTCTCTCTGCATGGAAGAAGTCTCGTCTAGAATTCCATCACCACCCCTCTCCCCCCAACTAGTCCCACTCCTTCTAGCCAGCAAAGTCGGTGGGTGACAATTCCACTGAGGTCAATAGCTGAGCTCACCTGGTTTCAAATGACCCCCTGCCCACACAGGAGGCAGGGTGCATGCACACACGGACAGAGAGGCACCAGATCTCTTTCTCCCACCCTGTCTCTCTGTCTCTGTCTCTGGCACACACACGCACACAACAGTACGGAGCACTCTAGGTCTTTCTCTCTCCCTCTCTCAGTGTCTTTCTGCTGCTGTCACACACACATTGTCACAGTGCCTGGCTCTGGACAGCTGTCAGTGATCAGATACCCCAGCCCCTTTGCCCTCCCTTGGCTCGCTGCTCCTGAGTCAGTACCTGAGCCCACCCTCAGCCCCAGCTCCGGGCTCACTCACCCTCCATGCTGCTCACTCCTGCCGGCTCTGGGGAAGGGCACAGCGGGCCCCTCGGACCTGGCAGGGCAGGGGGGAAGTCTCCGGGCGCTGGGTTGGTCGGCCTGCCCGCGCCCCTACCTCTGAGCTCAGCGGATCGAGTCCGGGGCCGGCAGGAAGCGGGCAGGGGGCGTGCGCCCGCAGGGCCGGGTCCTTCGCGGGGTCTCGCTCCCCCTCAGGGCCCAGAGTGAGCCCGGCAGGGGTCGGGCTCCCGCGCAGCGCTGCTGCCTGCCCCGCTCTGCAGCCGGCAGCCCTCTGCCCCTAGCCTCCCGAGGCTGGAGCGAGGGAGGGGGCCAGCGCGCGGCGCCGTCGCCATGGCAACCCGCACGCCTGTGCCCGCCGCAGCGCCCCCTGCCCGCTGTGTGCCGGGCCGCCTCGTCGACGAGGCCGTCTCCGCAGGGACCCAGCGCCCCTCCAAAGTAGGAGGCACCCCACCGCCTACTGCAGCTCTGCCAGCGACGTCCACTAACTCTGTACCTCTCTCCGGTGCCACACATCCCGGCCCCCGGCCCCGCACCTCCTCTTTATCCCACCCCAGCCTGACCCCTAGTCACCCACCCTAGTGTCCAGGACCTTGGGGTCCCGCTGAGAAGGGGATGAGAGGCAGCTGTGAGTACACAGGAGCGCCAAAGGAGGGAGGTGGGGGCTCGCCATCAGCTCTGAGCTCTGCGAGGAGAGTGGGGACAAGGTGTCTCCTAGATGGCCACTGACTTTGGAATCAGGGAGCCCAGGCGTTCACCGCTTTCCCCCGGGGCAAGTTTCTAAGACCGCACCCTAGTCTCCGTTTCTGCGTTTGTGAAATGGTTTCGAGGGGAGTACGTGAGATGTCAAAGTTTCTGCCCAGCACCTAGTAGGTGTCCAACAAATGGTCCCTTGAGCAGGATGGGAGCGCCCTCCCGTTATCCGAGCCCTCATCATCCCCCAGTAGTCACCGCCATAGACTTTTGTCACAAGAACGAAGATCCTGGTTTCCAGGCAGATGAGAGTGAATGGCCCATTCCTTCCAGTATTGGGGGTGGGGTGGGGTGGGGTGGGGTCTATATCCGGGGTTTTGAGGAAAGGGTTGGAATCCAGCTCCTCCTCTGCCCTGAGTGGCTGTCCGAGTCTCAGGGCTGAAAGGCCTTAGAGGCCACTGGGTCTAACCCCGCCCTGGGGCAGGTGTCTGGATCCTCAAATCACCCTCTCTTTGCCCGGGATAGATGGCCCTTAGAGAAAAGGGGGGATGGAGAGCACTCTCTCGAGGCCGCCCTGCCGCAGGCTTAACATCTGATTTTCTTTGGGCTTTTTTCTTCCTGTGGCTTGCCTCAGGCTTATCTGTTAAATGGGACAAGTAATAGTACTTATCTCCTAAAGCCGTGTTGAAGATGAATGGAGTTACTCTACGTGACGCACTTGAAATAGTGCCTGGCACATATAAGTGCTCCATAAATCTTACTCCTATCATTACCGTCTTGAGTAATGATCACATCACATCCACCTTCCAAGGGACGTGCTCACCGTTCTTAGAGTCCCTCTGACTGTGACAGGTCCTATCAAGCCGCCTTGATCAACGTGGAGGTCAGGGCACCGCTGCAACATCTGCATAGCCTGGCATTGCCATTCACTGTAGGTGTGACTTCGGGGAAAGTTATATAACCTCCCTGTGCCTCAGTTTCCCCTGTTCTACAAAATAGGGATAATAACAGTACCCACCATACAGTCAAGCGCTTGCAGCCGTGCCTGGAACATAGCAGGTGCTCAATAAATAGGAGCTGAATTAATTTGGGCACTAGGCTTTGACTGAAAGCCCACTTTTTCACTCCCGCCCCCCTTCTTTCCCTTTCCTCTGCCTTTCACTTTTCCTCAGCAGCCACATCGTTCTAGGGCATTCACTTAGGCTTGTGGCCAAGTTCGCACACTCCCCATCTTTTTTATTTGAATGGTTCTGGATCACAAAGCCTCTTTTCTCTTCCTTCTGCCTCCTGTTCTACAGACTTCCTTCTTCCACCTTTGCACGATGCCTAAGTACACGAACACGCCCAAGCACCACCCACAACGATCTCAGTGGGTCCAGCCTCTGAGGGGCAGGGAGGGCCATGCCGTGGATAGAAAGACCTGCGTGTGAATTCTTCCTCCACCATTTATTACCCGTGTGACCCAGGGTAAGTCATTTAAGCCGTCTAACCTCCTCTTCCCCATCTGCACAACGAGATTTATGATCCTCTTGTCAAGGTTGCTGTGGGATTAGAAGTCAGGTGCCCATAATATGGTGCCCTTCCTTATCCCCAAAGCTATGGGTAGAAGCCAAACAGACTGGGTAAAGATCTTTCCATGCAGATTTAAAAAAAAAAAAAAAAGTGCCCCCTTTCACTCCCCTCCTTATCCCAAAGGGGCTCCCAGGAAACCCGAGGCACCTCAACGTTCTGGTTTAGATCATGCCTTTCTCCTAGGTTCACCTGACCGCAGGGCCGGGGTACTTCCCAATCCTGAACCTCGGATCCAGAGCCCTTTAATCAAGGCACCATTGCTCCTATTTGGCAGGTGAAGCCACTGCATTAGTCGATGCCTTACCCCACACTGCACAGCTGGCTAAAAGAGAAAGAACCCTCTTCTGGACTCCTTGGGCACTGGCCCTGCCACCCCCACCCCAGCCTCGAGGGTCTTGGCCCTCTGACAGCATCTGAGAAACTATGGGTGTAATCATCCAGGGCACAGAGCGATCTCTGTCCATCTTGAGGGGGTCTCCCCTTCGGGGCTTCCTTCTCTGCCCATTCTGGCCAAGCTCTTGGCCTGGCCCCTCATCCTCAGGGCGGCTGCTCCCCATCCCGACCCACCCCCATCAGCTGTAATGCAAAGAATCTTTTCACGGAAAGCCCCACTGTCCTGGAAACAGATTTCCACCTGAAGAGCCGGGTACCAGGAGGTGGCATGAGGGCAGGGAGATTGAGAAGCTCCTTGACAGGAGAAGAGCCTTCTGTACTGAAGAATCAATGTGGACACCTGCTTGGAGAAGGGTCTCAAGGGAGCAGGGGAGGAGGTAGAGGGGGATCTTCTTAGAATCAAGCTTTCTGGCGGGGGGGGGGGGGCGGGCAGTGAGGGAGGTCAAAGGAGACAATATCATGCCCGAAGGACCGCCTTTCTCCTTGGAAGTTTATTTTCTCTATTTTTCAAATTTATTTTAGACAGAGAGAGCATATAAGTGGGGGAAAGGGACAGAGGGAGATGGTGGGGGCAGTAGAGAGAGAGGGGGAGAATCTTAAGCAGGCTCCACTCTCAGCACAGAGCCCAATACGGGGCTTGATCCCACGACCTGGGATCATGACCTGAGCCCAAATCAAGAGTCAGATGCTCACCTGACTGAGCCACCCGGGCGCCCCAGGCCTTGGAGGTTTAGTGTCCTGGTCACAGGCCTTGGGTGGGTACGGATGGAATGCACAGGCCCAGGCCGGCCCCTCACATGAACTCCTTCTCCTCTCAGCTGGATTGGAGGTGTGTTTTGAGCTTCCTGAGAGAGTTGATAGGAGCCTGAGGAGAGGTTGGCATGAAGCTACAGGGTGCCCTGTGGGAAATCCTGGGCGGTGGGAAAGCCAAGCATCTCTGATGGGAGACCCAGTCTCTCTTTCCCAGCCTGGAAATGAAAACGCACTTGGCCTTTAGGGCAAGGAAGGCCGATGGCACAGCCATCATTTTGAAAAGGTTCAAATCCACAGGGAAGGGGCAGGGGTCTCAGCCTGGTGGCAATACGGTCCCTGGGAAGCAGACCCCAGCACGCTGCTGGGGTTTCCAGCATCTATTTGGTGGTCGTGGAGGGGGTTAGGGGAGGAGGGACTATGCCAGGGGAGCTGCAGAGAGGCTGGGGTCTAGACCGAGGTGGGGGCCCTTTCTGGGAGCCGGGACGTGCCCCTCCTTCTCCCCAGTCAGCCTCTGAGGAGCGCTTCCTTCAGAATGCTTTCAAATGCTGATTAGTGAGCTCTCCCTAAGGAAGGAGGTCCGAGTTGTTACCTGCATTTATAAATGACGAGTGAAGGCTCTAATGGCTGACTCACTCCTACAGCTCGGCTACAGCAGCATAGCCCTGGAGGAGAGGCGGGGAGTGCGAAACAGACAAGCTCCCCCAACCGCAGGCCCCAGGGAGGGCCCCAGAAAGAACCCAAGGCAGGAGCCAGGAAGCCTGTGCATTTGTTAGGGTTCTGCCCCCAGCTCCCTGCTCAGTCTTGGGCAAGCCTCTCCACGTGCCCTTTGGAACACTCCCTCTGGAACTCGGTGTTCCCATCTAGATAATGGGAGAGGTTGGGGCACATGGGTGGCTAGTGGGTTAAACGTCCGGCTCTTGATTTCGGCTCAGGTCACGATCTCACGGTTGGTGAGATCGAGCCCAGCACAGGGTTCTGTGCTGACAGCGCGGAGCCTGCTTGGGATTCTCTCTTTCTCTCTGCCTCTCTCAAAAATAAATGAATAAAAACAAAATGAGAGAGGTTCGGACCAGAAGAACTTTCTTACTCTGACAGTTACCTTCTCCTCTGGAGAAGGTAAGTCTCTTCTTACCTTCTGGAAGGTAAGTCTCTTCTGGGGAGAGAAGAAGTCTCTCTCTGGAAGAGAAGTCTCTTCTGGAAGAAGTCTCTTCTGGAAGACGGGCGGGGTGGGCTCCTGCACCCTGGGCGGTGGCCGTGCAGGCTTCTGGCTCAAAGCGGGGTTCAGGTCAAGTTCCACAGTGTCAGGAAGAACACATGTTTGGCAAAGGTGTTGAAACTTCTTGGGGAAGGCGGGCAGCTTTCTGGAGGCCGCCCAGGGGCCTCCTCCAGGTGGGGGTGGGGGGCGCTTTTGTAAACCATTTCCTGGGCTCTGGACGACAATTCTAAGAAACATCGACCGTGTTCGAAAGGCTTGGGTTTGCATGTCAGTTATTCTGTCTGACCTTGGCCAGGATCCCGGGCTCCTCCAGTCCTCAGTGTCTTCATCTAGAAAGCGGAAACACAAAAAGTAGCGATCTCCTTGCGTCGTTGTGGGCACTAAGGGGGAAAAGAAATGGAAAGCACTTGGCAAAGTCACAGACACGTGGTAAGCTGTTAGTGTACATTTTTATTTTGCTTTTTTCACCTCCTCTGTTTTTTTTTTTTTTTTTGGTGTTGTTTCTTTGTTTGTTTTTTTACTCTGTTCCTTTTCTTGCAGTGCTGGTTTTCCTTTCCCTCAAGGTTTGGATCCTTTAACGGAAACACAGAGCTGGTGATCTGCTTGGGCCGGGGA